AGCTGGCCTATTAAAAAAAATAAAATAGTGACCTCCTAGTTCAATGCATAGGGCCTGGGGTTTTACAAGCTTGCAGGCGGCCATCCAATGCACAACTATGGATCTGTATTTGCCCAGAACAACAGAGGAAGAAGGAGAGTCAGGAATAGAAGGAAGAAATGCAATGTGTCGCTAAGTGCTTCCATGAACAACTGTCTCCTTTGCCATGATACCAGAAGAACTGGATGGTACCCGGCTACCGTTACTGAACATTTGATCAAAGATTCCATAGAAGAATCTTGATCAAAAGGGGGAAAATGCAGAACACAATTCAAATTCTTATGGACTCCAAACTTCCCAAAGCCATGAAAGTTGGATGAACCCCTGAAACTACTGCCCTTAGATAATCTTTAAACCTTAAACCAAAAATATCCCCTGAAGTCTTCTTAACACCAAACAGTAGTTTAGCTTAACTAGTAAAAAAATATCTGCCTTGAGCATTATGCTCTTTTAAGAAGTATCTATATGGGATCAAAGTGACAACAGTAACCCAAAAGATTAGATAGGAACTTTAGGGGGTAGTGAATTTATGTTAATGGGGGAGGAACAACTCAGGAAAGGAGGGTGAGAATGGTTATATAACTTGAATGTAATCAATGTCACTAGATGGTACATGTAGAAATTGTTGAATTAGTGTATGTTTTGCTGAGTATATTCTCAACAATAACAAAATAAATAACATTATATTGAAAAATAAAGCAATGGATTAAAAAGAGATTCTCTAAATATCTGATTAAATATCAGGTGGTAGCATTAATTTCAAGTATGAATTCCATGCTGGTGAAAGAACAAAGATTTTCAATTTAATACAAATTCTGTTCCAGTAGCTCTGCAAAATTTCACAGCTCATCTGCATTCTCTTAAAACTTCTTCACTGATGGTACTTGTTTAGAAAGGATCAAGAGCCAAGTTTAATACAGGAATTCTTTAATTACATCTGTTTAAGACAGCAGTATGCGGCTACTTATTCTGGCATCAAAGTAATTAACATTAAAGATCAAAGGCAAGATTTCTTGCATAAATCCAGAATACAAGCTTGTTAGGATTCTATGTCCTATGTCATGGAACCACAGAAAGAATTCAGTAAGTCAACTTTCACTGAATTTGTCTATGTCTGTCATTTCCTTTGGGGCAAATTCATTTTGCAGGCTGCTGGCAAAATACGGGACTCAAAACTGGTTGGCTTTTATTATTTGGTATTAACTCTTTAAGAGGCAGCCACAGAGCTGCAGTTGATTCGGCTATATTGTTGGTTCAAAAGGGAATTTAATTACTTTAAGCCAAAGGCATTTCTAAAATCAAACGACAGGAAAGAGAGATTAACTGCTATTACGATGATGCTCTTGAAGCCAGGAATGAGAAAATCCAGCTATTTATGGCAATGAGAAACCTCAAAAGAAGAGCTACCAGTCACTTTTTGTTCTTTACTAACCTTGCAACAAAGTTTTATCTTCTTTCACTTTCCACTCATCCTGCTTTTGTTACAATTGTTTTATTATTAAGGTCAATGAAATGTTGAGTGGTATAGAGATTAGCCACATGTATTCACAAAACTGCAATATCCCAGGAATGGAAGGAGGTTCCAAAAACCAACTCATTCAACTACATAAGTCCCTTTACCATGTCCCCACTAAGTGACCAATGGATGTACCATTTTCTACCTATCGAAGTAGCCTACTCTGTCTTTGGATGCCTCTGTTAGAAAGTTCCTACTCAGTGAACTGAAGTCTCTCATTATGGCCTCCAATTTATTGTATCCTTAAGGGTCATGAAAAAACAAATCTAATTTCTCTTCCTACATGAAGTCGTTTAAATATCTAAAGAGAGAAATTCTGACCCCTTCTCTATCTCCATTCCTTCAAATGCTCCTAGTATGAAATGCTATTAAGTCCTCTGTCTGTGCTGAGCATAAACCAAAGAAACCAAACCCGCTGCCATCAAGTTGATTCAGACTCATAGTGACCTTATAGGACAGAGTACAACTGCTCCATAGGGTTTCCAAGGAGCAGCTGGTGGATTCGAACTGCCAATCTTTTTGGTTAGCAGCCACCAGGGCTCCATGCTGAGCATGTTAGCCCCCTAAAAAAGTAAATTTGTATACATGCCTAAGTTATTTTAACTTTTAAAAATAATTTTTAAAACTTTAAGTTACCTAAACATATTAGCTACCAATTTTAAATTAGATGAGCTGATGCTCAAGCATAGCAAAATTTCCTTTATAAATGTGTATACTTAGACTAAAACCCAATAAATTCAGTCAGACATAAGACTATTTTTAATACTATTTAAACAATTACGTCACCCTTAATTGCCCGTAATGTGTAACAGTCACACCAAAGGCTAGGCTTTAAACTAAATTTTAAATAAACATTTAAAATACCTTTCTACAAAGTTTTTGGGCTTTGTTCTGCAGTTTATTTGGCTAACAGGATGAATTCTAAATTCTGAAGTTATACAGCGATGATTACTCTTCCATAACTTTGACAACTTCCAGCCAAAGTCAAACAAAAAAGCAAAGCTCAAAACTGAATTAATCAGCCCAAGTCAAAAAGTCTGAATTGTAAAAAGACGTTTTAGTCGTCTGATGGTTGTAAGGTCCTGAGACGGCATGCATTATCTATCTCGAGATCCTCACTTTCAATGCCAGTAGAAGCTACCTCTCACATTTCATACATGCTGAGCTTATTTAGTAGTTCATAAAACACTCAACTGAGTACTTGCCACACGGACTGCTGTGAAAAGTTAACATCACTTACAAAATTATTAAACATTCACACACAATCACTTACCCAAGATTCATGGTATAAAACTGTTAGTAAATACACTGCATAATCATAATTCTGTCTCTTTAAAGGGCACCTTTAAAGACAGAAAGGAGGAAGTCAAAATTCTAAACATTCAATATAGAGAATAATCTGCCAAATATACAATATACAAAACATAAAGGATAACTTATAATCAGGTATTCCCTATCTGCTTGAGCAAAATTTGCTTCTTGGAAGAAAAGTTTATATAATTCATTACTTGAGGATACTGAATACTGGTATTATTTCCATCTAAAGCTATACAATATAATGCTGTACTATTGCTGCTGTATTTAAAATGGAAGTAATTACCTAACATTAGATTAAAATTCTACATAAATATGACACGCCATATTAAACTCTTAGGTTAACAAACTAATATAGAAAGGGAAACAATTCTAATTTCTTTAAATATAGAAATAAAGCCATCATATGACAAGTGACTTTATCAGTACTGTGGTATTATATTAAAGCTTCTGTTTATTTAATAGTCTTCTACTCTGAAAAACTGTTACATAAAGTACATATTCACATTGATACTTGTAAACTTAAAAAAAATAGCTACATTATTTGATACTGACAGAATTTGAAACAAGAACATTTTACAGGTTATTTAATTGTATAAACTAACATTATCTTACATTTTCTAAAGACAGTAAAATATTAATAACATATTTCACATCTATTTCCCTCCATATGATGATAATAATCTAAAGCCACAGTCCCCAACCTTTTTCTGCTTTCATACTGTTGCCACTATGTATATGTGTGATGCTACTTCTTCCTACCATTAAAGACCATGATGTAAAATTTAATTGATACTGACACCTCTAAATGCCTTGAAACTGGCAGGGAGGAGGGAAAGAGGAGACAGTTATCTGCTCACTTGCTCCTTCTCTAAAAGCAAGTCTTTATATTGTGACATAATTTAGAAACAAAGTATAATTCTAGAAATAAAATAACCATTTAGTAAAAACATACCACAACCTTTCTTTGCCCTATAAGATAAATTTAATACTGCTTTTAAGAACGTCTACCCTGACTCTGAAATTCTGCTTATTTACAAGTGTTTCGATAAATTAAATTTCCAGATATACACTTTAATAATTTTAATTTTGAACTATAAAATTTTTATACATTTTGACTTTGTAAAAAACTGTTTAAGCGTTAATCATTAGCAAATCATTCTTTTGTCTTCTTCCATATCTTCCCTAAGTTTTACATACAGGGATATATTAAAATGAAGATTAAACATAACAATAATTTAGCTAGGCAAGCCTCTCCATGTACATAAAGACCACAACAGCATTGGGCTAGTGTGAGCATGATATTAAAAACAGGAATTATACAACTTCTCTAATCTGCTAAGTTGATATAAGGAGAGGCTACCCCTATCTTCAATGTAATTTCTTAAAATAGGATTGCCAGGGGATTGGAGGACCATTAAACCACACGTGACCAATCTGTTGAACTTTTCTTTCTTTACCTGTCTGTTTTGATGGTAAGCACATCTGTGGTCTTGCAGTACCGCTCTCCTACAAGTTTAATAAGTTTCTTCTTTGCATGATCATCTAAATTCAGACTGGAAAGTTTAACCTTAAAAATAAAAAAATGAGAAATTTGAAAAAATTATTTTATATACTTTGTTTAGTGAAAAAGATAGTAGCAATATATTTATATTAACACTGAATCCAGTAAAAGGGAAACTTTTTAACAATAAAATTTAAAAACAACTTAAAAATTTACCATTTAGAAAAGTGTTCTGGTTTTTTATGTAACAAGTGGACAAAAAAAAAAGTGGCAAAGCTAATCCTTACTGTAATAATGGCTTTAAAATTCATGTTCACAGAACATTTTAATGTTCAAAAAATACGTAATGTTTATGCCATAAACTCATAAATTAGAAACAGTTGTGTGGTACACTCACGCCACCTGCTAGCATTCCAAGGCACTGCAACACTGTAGTCTTCAACCTGAACTAATACCCTGACTTTGAAGTTGGGTGGCACTGTCATTCCTTTTCCGAAATTCAAAAGAGTTCTCAAACTTTTTTTCCATGTTGCTATATTTCAAAGAATCAATACTGTACTACTAACATTATCTCCAAAACGAATCATAGGAGGTCATGGTTGTGTGTGCGTGTGTCTTCAAGTGCCCATATTTTAATTTGAAAAGAGCTATATGAATTGAGAAGTGTTTAAATTTGTGAAATATTTTCTCTATGCGCAAGTATGGTACAGTTAAAGAACTCTGGTATTACGCATAAGAATTGGGTTTATTTCTAGATTTGCCATAGATCAGCTATGTGATCTTACACAAATCATTTTCCTTCCCCAAGACTCAGTTTCTTCATTTATAAAGTGAAAAGGACCACTTGATTCACAGGATTTTTGTCAGGAATAAATGAGATTATATATAAGAAGCCTCCTCTAAAATCCTAAAAAAAAATATGTTCTTTTTAATTCTGATCTACTTTTTAACTAAGAAAAACATGATAAATAAAACAAAGGAAAAGAATCATATGATCATCTCTACTGATGCAGAAAAGGCATTTGATAAAATCCAACATCCTTTCCAAATAAAAACTCTCAGCAATAGGACTAGAAGGGAAATTCCTCAATATAATTAAGGGCATATATACAAATCCAACAGCCAACATTACACTCAATGAAGAAACATTGAGACCCTTCACCTTGAGAACAGGACTGCGATAAGGATGCCCATTATCTCCACTTTTATTCAATACTGTACCAGGAAGTCCTAGCCAGAATAGTAAGGCAAGGAAGAGAAATAAAAGGTATCCGAATCGGTAAAGAAAAAGTAAAACTATCTCTATTCTCAAGTGATATGATCCTATACATAGAAAATCCCAAAGATTCCACAAGAAAGCTACTGGATCTAATAGAAGAGTTCAGCAACATTGCAAGATATAAGATCAACACACAAAAAACTGTTGGGTTTCTTTATACCAACAAGGAGAATTTCAAAAAGGAAATCAAGAAAACTATACCATTTAAATAGCCCTCAAAATGATCAAATACCTAGGAGCAAACTTAACCAGGGATATACAAGAAAACTTTTATAAAACACTACAAAAGGCTAAAAAACCTACATAAATGGAAGGACATTCCACACTCATGGATTGGAAGACTTAATATTGTGAAAATGCCACTACTACCAAAGCAATGCAATCCAACTCCGATCCAGATTCTAACAACATTCTTTACTGAAACAGAAAAACTAATCACCGACTTTACATGGAAAGGAAAGAGGCCCTGAACAGTCAAAGCCTTACTGTAGAAGGACAAAGTAGGAGGCCTCACACTTCACCTCAAAACGTACTACACAGCTACAGTAATAAAAATGGCCTTATACTGGTTCAAAGACAAACACAACCAAACACCTTGTGAGATTGGTATTCTGGGTTCGAAGGCTTAGGACGATAGTCTCATGGGACAACTCGGTCGACTGGCATAATACAATTCATAAAGTTTATGTTCTATATCCTAGTTTGGTGAGTAGTGTCTGAGGTCTTAAAAGCTTGCGAGAGGCCATCTAAAATACAAATATTGGTCTCTACTTATCTGGAGCAAAAGAGAAAGAAAGAAATCAAAGACTCAAAGACGGAACTAGTCCACAGGACTAAAACCCCACCCGAATCATGGCCTCACCAATCCTGAGACCAGAAGAACTAGATGGTGCCTGGCTACCACTACCAACTGTTCTGACCAAGGCCACAATAGACAGATCCTGACAGAATGGGGGAAAAATGTAGAACAGAATTCAAGTTCTTAAAAAGTCCAGGCTTACTGGACCAGTTGAGATCAGAGGATTCCCTGAGACTATCACCCTGAGATACTCTTTAAGCCTTGAACCAAAACTATCCCGGTATCACCTTTTAGCTAAATAACAGATTGACTCATAAAACATCACCTGTGAGTACTGTGCTACTTTAAAAAATCATCTATATGAGATCAAATGGTCAACAATTATTGCAAAGCAAAGATGACAAGGTAAGGAGGCAGGCAAACTAGATTCCTGGAAATGGAACAACAAGAATGGAAATAATGAGAATGCTGACATTGTGAAAAATGTAGCCAGTGTCCCCGAACAATGTGCACAGAAATTGCTGAATGGGAATCTAATTTGCTGTGTAAATTTTCACTGAAAATACAATAAAATATTATTTAAAAAAAGAAAAAGAAAAACATGATATCACCTTTCTCTGAATTAAAAAATCTGAGTATCTCCAAATAATTTTTTATAATACTTGATTACCTCTGCAATATTACTTTAATCATGTCAGACTGTACATGCTTTAGTTCTACTGTTTAACCTATTTTTATCCTTGAATCACAAGCAAGCATCTACAACACCACACTGAGCCTCAACAGTCAGCAGGTAGAGTGAAAAGAGTCTAGAAATGCAGACATGAGTCAGGTAGAAGGGATACCAGGGAACGATGAAGGTATCACATGGCGGCATGAGACACAGAAAGGAAGCAAGAGGGAATGGTAGCAAGTGATATATGGTGGTGTACTTCAAATAAAGCAATGGGATTTTTTTTTAATGTGAAATAAAAATAAGCAAATCTTAGAACTAGAAAACACTTTAGCTATCACCTATTGTAGTACTGAAGACTGAGGCCCAGAAAAGGTAAGTTCAGAGATTTTTAACAACAAGGAGCTCAGCAACCATTGGTTGTTGTTGTTATCATTACTGTGAAGAAAAAGATCACGTTTACTAAGTTCTTAAAAATGTACCAGGTATTGCTCTATAGGCATTTTACATCAATCTGTGGAGTGATGTCAGCATGGTGGAATTTTAAGTACTTTATCCTTTTGCTTATCCGGATTTTCTAAATTTTATACAATAAACATATTGCTTCTTTTGGTTTTAAGACAGTTCAATCTCTCTAAAAGCGTAAATATATTGGTATGATATTTAAACTGTTCTATAGAATAAAAAAGGCTGGAAAGCTTCATTTCTTATTTCATGAAGATTACACAACACTGATAGCAAAGCCTGGCAAAGAAAGGAAACTACACATCAATCTTAGCTGTATCACTAGAAAAAATTTTAGAAATAAGACAAAGTCTGTGCTATTTCTTACCAAATCATGTAAAAATGGTTATATAGATTTTCAACAAATATTTGTAATGTTCTGAATTAAAATACAGACTACATGGAGCACAAAATTAACTTTTTGAAGATCCTGGAACACACCTCAAAGAGGTAGGCAGTCACATTCCAGGACAGATGAATCAAAAGTTTATCAGTCACTTGGAGAGTGGCTTTTACCAGAATAATGGAAAACAGTGTTAGAGAGGATGTGGAGAAACTGGAACCTTTATCCATTGTTGGTGGGACTGTAAAATGGTGCAGCCGCTGTGGAAAAGTTTGTCAGTTCCTCAAAAACTTAAATATAGATTTACCATATAACCCAGCAATTCCACTTTTAGGTATATACCCAAAAGACTTGAAAACAGGGACTCAAACAGATTCTTGTTCACCAATGTTCACTGCAGCAATATTCACAATAGCCAAAAGTTGGAAACAAACCAACTGTCCATCAACAGATAAATGGATAAATAAAATGTGGTATATATCCCCCACTGCTGTCAAGTTGATTCCAACCCCATAAGGTTTCCAAGGTTGTAAATCTTTATAGTAGACGCAGACTGTTCCATCTGTCTCCCATGGAGCAGCTGGTGAGTTCGAACTGCCAACCTTCTGGTTAGGCACCAAGCACTTTAAGTGGTATACAGATATACAATGGAATACTATTCAGCCGTAAAGAGAAATAAAGTTCGATACATGCTACAACACGGATGCACCTTTCAAACATTATGCTGAGTGAAAGAAGTCAGACACAAAAACACGAATATTATATGATCCCACTTACATGAAAAATCTAGAATAGGCCAATGCGTATAGACCAAAGTTTATTAGTGATTACCAGAGGCAGGTGCGAGGGAGAAATGGAGAGGTAATGCTTAAGGGGTACTGAATTTCTATTAAGGGTAATGAAAAATTTGGAAACGGATAGTGGTGATGGTTGCACAACATAGTGAATGTAATTAATATCACTTAATATTACATGTAAAAATGGTTCAAATGGCAAGTGTTGTGTTATATATATATCACCACAAGAAAAATTTAAAAAAACAAAAATGTCAGTTAGGGCTCACTGAAGAAATGGCTGGTTCTAGAATTGGGGCAAGGAATATACAAAATGAGCCTGGAGTACCTCAGAGTGCCAGAAATTAAGGAAATGCTCAAAAAACGAAAGTATGGGGGTATGTCGAAGGGACAGAGGAGCCAATGGAAAGAGCTCCCAAGTGGTCAAAGCTGGAATAATTTGAGCAACAAAATAAATATTGTATATTGGATTATTATCCAAAGTACAAAATAAATGTCTATGAGTTCATACTGACATAAATCGATGTTTGAATACACTTTTTAAAAGGGGGAGAATAGACAAATCTCCCAGACAGAAGAATTTCAAACAATTTATGTAGATAACCTCCTCGAGGTGGAGCATAACTCTCCGCCCCTTAACTATGGGCTTTGGAAGGCGACTTCCTTCTAAAAAGTACAATATGGAAAGGAAAGGAATTCTTGGATGGCACAAACTAAACAGTTAAGTACTCAACTACTAGACAGAAGATTGGCAGTTCGAACACACCCAGAGGCACTTCGGAACACACACCTGGCAATTTGCTTCCATAAGGACACGGCCTTGAAAACTCTATGGAGCAGTTTTACTCTGCACACATGAGGTTGCCAATTGGTGTGTGAATTATATTTCAATAAAGCTATTATTAAAAAAGTAAAAATGTAAGTATACAAAAACACTAACACACTATCAAAATGGGCAAATGATAAAAAAACAAGCATTCCGCAAAGGAAGACATTCTCAATCTTGCTTGTATTCAAAGATATACAAATTTTAAATATGAAACACAATTTTTTTAACCTATCAATTTGCTGGGTAATAATTACCTAGGGTTAGTGAGGGTACAGGAAAACAGGCTTTCTCACAATCTGCCAGTATTGTATTTTTTATATTTCTTGCAGAAAACTTCACAGTATCTATCAAAAAACTTCCAAAGACCCCTGGACACCCTGCTAACTCAGAACTAAAGCCATTCCCGAAGTCCACCTTTCAGCCAAAGATTAAATAGGTCTATAAAAAAAAACAGTAACACATGTGAGGAACATGCTTCTTAGTTCAATCAAGTATATGAGACCAAATGGGCAACACCTGCCCAAAAGCAAAGACGAGAAGGGAGGAAGGGACAGGAAAACTGGATGAACAGACACAAGGAACTGGGATGTCAAAGGAAAGGGAGAGAGTGCTGACACACTGCGGGGATTGCAGCTAATGTTGAAAAACAATTAAATTTTTGTATATAAATTTTTGAATGAGAAACTAATTTGTGCTGTAAACTTTCACCTAAAGCAAAATAAAATTTAAAAAACTCCAAAAGATCTTCACCCTTTGACACAACAGTTCCCCTTTTAGGAAGTTATCTTAGCAACATAATTATGCATATACACAAATATTAATCTCTAAGGATATTCATTATAACATTTTTCTAATAAAGAAAACTGTTAAAAAGCCTAATGTCCCATAATATGGATAACTTAAACATACTGTGGTAGATCTATGTTATGGAATTATTTGTGTCTCCTAATTCAGTCTCAGAAAAGGATCATGTCTAAATTGATCAGCATTGCACTTTGTTATGGATTGAACTGGAATACTAACCTCCATTCCTATATAATCCCATTTGGGAATCATTTTGTTATGTTAATGATGCCATCCCAACATAGGTATGTGTTAACTCCAATCACTTCTGAGATATAAAAAAGAGCAGATTAAGCACAGGAGCAAGCAAGCACAGATGGGGAAAACAGATGACATGCCACATAAAGATCACCAAGCAATCGAGGAAAAGAAGCTGAAAAGAGACAAGGGCACTCCCCTAGAGCTGACAGAACGAGAAAGCCTTCCCCTAGAGCCAGCACCCTGAATTCAGACTTTTAGCCTCTTAAACTGTGAGAAAATAAATTTGTTTGTTAAACCCGCCCACTTGTGGTATTTCTGTTATAGCAGCACTAAGAAACTAAGACACACTCCCAGCATCGAACACTGTCTCAGCACATAACAGATCCTCATTTATATGTTAGTATGTGTAGCCATTAAAAACAATATTAAAGAATGCTTATAAGATTAGAAAATGTTTAATTCATATTGTTAAGAGGAAAAGAGCAAATTACTAAACAAATACAGTATCATCCCATTAATATGTACAAAGGCTGGCTGTATATATACAACCATGAGCTCCTGTAATTAATAATGGTTATTTATGAGTGGTAAAACAATAGGCAATTTCATTTTGTACTTTAAAAATATTTTTATATTTTCTAAATTTTCTTTAACAGATATGTATTAATCTTATAATTGAACATACAAAATACTATTTTAAAATAATGTACCATAATGATGCTTTTTTTTTTTAAATACCTCTTACCCTTAAGGTTACTACTCGTGCTTTAGGGTTTCGAATGGAGGGTCCTGCTAACACATAATCAGCTGTGTCAACTTCAATCGGAAAATGCTTCTCGCATTTCTCATCACTGTCTAGTGCAGCCGGCCATTCAGTGCAAAAATCTAAGAATTACAAAAAAATTACCTCAATTATAGTTTTGCAAACAAATTCTCATTGTAATGTATGCTACCAGATAAACTCAAATTACTAAGGGAGATCATTCTCAGGTTACATGAAATGGAAGTACAGATTCTCTTCTGTACTTTACATATACATCTTCATCCCTCATCCCCTGTCTTCTTAGGTGTATTCTAATTAGGGAACTCAAGGAAATGATTTGGATATTTCAGGTTTGATGGGGAGTGGTATAGAGTTAAAAGGGAATTGTGACTTGATAGGAGCTTATTACAACTTTGCATGTATCTGTTATGGTACAATTTAATCACTCTTCCCCAACTAAAAGCAAACAGTTAATAGTGCCTAGTGTTTTTTAAAAAGCAACAGATAATATTAATTCACTTCCAAATGAAGGTTACTAAAGATCAACTGAAGGGAATTGAAAGAAGCTTTGAAAACGCTCTAAAAGGGAACTGAGATGTGGTCAACAATATTCCAGAATTTGAGGCGAATAAAGCCCCAAATAAAGTAGGTTCAAAAGTGGAGGTCATTCTTAAATGGTTTCTTACAGTAACTCATGCTTCTTCGATGTGGCTTCTGTGCCAATGGAGCTAAACAGAAAGAACAGATTGTCCTCATATTCACGAAAGACAGCTAGCTAGTCTAGAGAAGAAATGGGACTAGGTCTGACGCCTCGGCTACAGTGGGAAGTTTTCAGCACTGTGAACACGGCCCTCTGTCTATCTCCATGGCTCTCTATCTCGACATAGTGCAGGGCTATAAACCCAGGTCCCAACTGGGAATAAAACTTAAAGAAAAAGAGGTAGCTCCCAGCCTTTTGCAAGTATCAGTACTGATGCACTCCATTAACAGTAGGCTGGTTCCATCTTGCCCTACTCCTATCAAGTCAGTGCAGTAAAGAGTTCTGTGGTTGGGATGAAAACTTCGAGCACTATCAGTTTCCTCTCAGTGAAAATCTCACTCCTTAAATAGCCTCATTCCAAGAATAGCTGAAAGTAATTGCCTACGTAGGTCAAACACATTAGACCTCATGGATTCAAGCTTCCTCCAAAGAAGCATGACTGCAGGCAGATGTGGGAGCTCTTCTAGGTGATGATCAGGGACATTGAAAAGTACTTTGCCAATTATATCTCCCTGAGCTAACAATTTTCATATAGTAGATACTATATTTAGCTCCCATTTAGGTTTTAAAATCATAGTCAGCAAAATGTCATTCTGAGTTAGAGACTGAGATCTGGAACTAAATACATGTTAGCAAATTAAGTATAGCTAACACCATTCCCTAAACATCCTGTTAAAGAGATCAATACTCAGTCTCTTTGAAGGGAAAGAAATATCATTGCAATGGAGAACATTTTGACATTTAAAATGAACAGAGCAAGATTACTGAGGTTGAATTTCATTCCCATTATGGACTAATTCCAATATCTTGCACTGTAAGATGCATCATGGCCAAAAGAGAGACTAGTTTGGGGAATTTTATAAGCTTTTGGGTTTATATTGAATCTTTTCTTTTTTAAACTCTGGATAGGTCATTTCAATCACCAAAGAATAATTATAGTTTTTGAATTAAATTACCTAATTATATGTTTCAAAAAACAGAGGCAACTAGAAAGTACATATTGACTGCCATTAGGATTTATGCATCTGATAGGTAGAGCAATAGACTAGACTTTGGAAGACCTCGGTTTTTATTTAACGTCTGCCACTGATTATTAAAGATTTGGTAAATTACTGAACTTTTCTGTGCTTTAGATTTTCCATCTGTAAGTTAAGATATAAAATCTGAGCTGACCTACTTTGAAAAGAAAATTGAGAAGAAATATGTGAAAAGCCTTTGAGTTATTTGGAAGATATAATCTAAATCCAGAAGCTGACAGAAGTATAAAGGCAAAATTTTAAAAAGTTTAAAACACACACTTAAATATTGTAAAATATGCTATTATTTTGAATGTGCTGTATGAAAGCCTTTAATTTCAAAATTAGAGTATTTTAGAAATATTTCATGAAAACAATCAGTTTCTAGATTGGAAACACACATTTTAAGATAATGTTAAAAAAGTAGAAAAATGGAATTTATCACAGTATAGTGTATTTATTAACTGATTTTATAAAAGATCAAAAATTGATACATGACTTATCCAAATAGGGCAAAAAAATTCATTTGGACATAACCAAACAACTCATGGGATTGGTTTACTGGGTTTGAAGACTCGGGACCATAGTCTCATGGGACAACTTGATCAACTGGCATAAGACAATTTTTAAAAATGTTTTACATCCTAGTTTGGTGAGTAGCATCTGAGGTCTTAAAAGCTTGCAAGTCGCCATCTAAAATACAACTATTGGTCTCTACTCGTTTGGAACAAAAGAGAATGAAGGAAACCAGAGACTCAAAGAAGAAACTAGTCCACAGGACAAATAGCTCACACGAACCATGCCCTCATCTGTCCTGAGACCAGAAGAACTAGATGGTGCCTGGCTACCACTATTGACCGTTCTGACCAGGGATAAAACAGAAGGTTCTGGATGGAAAGGGAGAAAAATGTAGAAAAAACCTCAAATTCCTGAAAAAGGCCAACTTACTGGACCGACAGACTAGAGAAATTCTGAGACTATTTTCCTAAATACCTTTTGAACTTGGAACTAAAGCCACTCCCAGTGTCATCTTTCATCCAAATAATAGATTGGTTTATAAAGTAAACAATAACCCATAATCCATTGCCTTCGAGTTGACTCCAACTCATAGCGACCCTAAAGGACAGAGTAAAACTGCCACATAGAGCTTCCAAAGGGCGGCCGGTTGATTCGAACTGTCAACCTTTTGGTTAGCAGCCAAGCTCTTAACCACTGCGCCACTAGGGCTCCAAAATAAACAATATCACCCGTGAATACTGTGCTCCCTCATATAATCAACTGTATGAGACCAAATGGTCAACATTTACCCTAAAACAAAGATGAGAAGCTAAGGAGGGGCTGGGAAGCTAGATTAATGGAAACAGAACAAAAAGAATGGAAATAATGAGAATGTTGACATATTGTAAAAAAATGTAACCAATTTCATGGAACAAACTGTATAAAAATTGTTAAGTGGGAATCTATTTTGCTATGTAAACTTTCACCCAAAACACAATAAAATATTAAAATGAAAAAAAAATTCATTTTGAGTGGTGGTCAGTGTTAGTCCAATTCCAGGCACAAACAAATCATATTGATTTGTATCTGTTGTAAAAACTCTGTAAATATTTTCTTCCATCTTTTTATGTATGTGTTTTCCATAAGTCATCAATAAGTTCCTAAATTACCTGTGAGCAAGGATTATGATTTAGTTCTGTTTATTACAGCACCTTGTAGAGTGGTCTGCAAAAAAAAAAGTGCAGACTTAACATCTAACCACTCACTGAACACAACTTAAAAATCCTTTAAAAAAAAAAACAGAAATCAACAATGACTCAGAATATAAGGCTGAGATTCTTATCTCAGTATATTAGAAATGAGATTCTTCATTTTACATTCAAAGTCAATACTAAGTTCATATAGGAAAACAATACTAAGTTCATATAGGAAAACAACCACTTACCTTTAAGAGCTTCACAGTGTCTTTTAATTGCTAGAGGAGTCAAATGCAGAAAATTGGGGATCTAAAATAGAGTAAAAGATAAATTAACCAAATGTCTTAAAAACACGAAAAAGAATTTTCTCATAGAAGTAAATTATAGGTAAAACAAGCATTGTAGTAAATAAAATTTGATAGCTTTTTACAAAATTAATACTGTATGTCACAAATGTGTATTTAAGAAATAAATTTCTTGAAATACAAATTAAGTACTCTGTACCTTATGACAAAAATAATGTTGGAAAAATAAACATCACTTTATGCTACTCTTTGAAGTATTAGAGCTACAGGTGTACATGTGTGTTTCCCTTACAAAACTGAAAGCAACCAAGGATACAGTTCATTAATTAATCATCTCCAAATCCCTGGACTACATAGCATGGTGGTACATTTCTACTCTGTACTTAATAAACATTTTATGATTTGAATGAAGGAATAAATGAAGTTAATAAGAAGTTGAGAATATATTTATGATAATACATTAAGAGGCTACCTAATCATTCACAGGGTGAATGAAAATTTAGGAAAGGTCAGAGATTTGATTAATTCAAATAATTTGCATTTACTAACACAAGTCTTAAGCATCTAAAGAGAAAATTTAACTTAAAGAGACTCAATTGGAAAGAAAATTTTGCTTCAAGAAATAAAGAAGTTAAAGCTGGTAGACTATAACAATAATACTAAATGATATTCTACCTTTCTGAAAAGTTTCAAAATCTCTCTTTTAAAAGTAGAACCCTCATGGAAACCTGTCATGGGTGAAAGTTCTGAATGTTTCAAAGAAGCCGTTTAAGTCCTGTCTAGATATGCCAAGAACAATTTACAATGTTTTAAATCAATTAAAAGATATAATCTTGTCTCCAAAAAAAGCAGAACCCTCAACTCCCAATTCTCAATCCAAATTAGGCTATTTTACTTTTCTCAAGTCTACTAGGCAGGTACAACATAGAAAAGAAAAGGCAAAAAGGAAAGCAACTGGACTAATTAATTACATTCTTAAATGCCTAGGAGGATTCTTTTAGTCAAAATAAAAATATAACATCGATTACATGGAAAAAAAATTAAAACACAGTAAGCTAGTATATACTGAACTTGGAAGTATAATGGAGGAAGAGGGGGCATCAACAGTTATTTAAGCATGTTATAAGTCTTAGCCAATGAACTGGCAACTTATCTTACCTTTAGAAGTTCTAGATTTCCCTCCTTTGCCATGGGCACTCCCCTTTTGACTGGATAACCCATTCGAACAGGAAGAGGTACTGCAGATGGTTTAAATGGTGCTGCAACAGGGTAAACACTAGGCCAGTCTTGGTCAACGGCCATTTTCTCTGTCCTAGGAGGTAGTGTCTTAGGAACATAAAGTAGATTAATGTTTTAAATATGAGCATCTTCTTTAATTTGAAAATTTAAAAAGCTGCAATTAAGAGAAATATAAGCAGAGATACAAGCTACATAAAAGCTGACCTCCAGAGAGCTGCTGTTTAAATGAAAAAAAAAAAAAAAAAAATCAAAAACAAGCCTACCTAAATATCTTTGCATTGTTTGCTCAAACCGTCTAGCAAGGATCCTCTTTAATATCACATTTCTTTCCCTAAAATCTTTTCTATTTTGTTTAATTAGGCTTTAGCAAACTTTTTACATTTTGTTTATGAAGGGGTGAGGTGCCAATACATTTTGAAATAATTTTTTTAAGATTTCTCTGATCAGTGCGTGAGGTAATATTGAGAACTTGGAAATAAGGAATAATGAAAATAAAAGAGTTAAACTAACTGAAAAATACGTAAGAAATTATATACTACCTCCTATGCCCAGAAAATAGCTATTTGAAGCTTAGTCAATCTCATTAACATGTATTTAAAAGAAAAGAAAAAAAAGAGCTGTATTAAGTAGAAGGGGATGGCCAACCTATAAAAGTGGGGTTTAAAGAGGCAAACTCAGCAATACCCATCTAAGCACCATCGAAGACAGTGTAGCATGTGTCCTGCAGGCAGGTAATATGCCTGTGATAATGACTGCTTTAGACTATGGTTAATTTGGTACCATTTAACTTCTAACTAATAAGCCTTTGCACTGACTCCATGATCACCAAGTGATCTTACAATCTGGATTCCCAATTACAAGGTGACACTTAAATGGTGAGACTGATGTGTACATTCTAGGCTGCATGACTGTTACAACTGTCATTAAAAATAATTCTATATTCTTGTTTATATATCTGTTTACTAGGAGTATGTGAGTGAATCCACCTCTCACAGATGATCCATTTTCTGGGTATTGACAAAAATCAGTCGAAGACTAGAGCCTGCCAGAACTGTGGAAGCCACCAAGTAAATGTCACCTTGTGAAGCCTTCCCTGGCAGTACCCTCTGCCTCATCCTGAATATATGCCTCACATCAGAGCTTCAGAAACTAGTAAGACAGTATACAGTACAACACACTGTTTACCTTTCTTCTTATCAGTCTTTCACTTCTGGGTGTTTTAATGTTTTCTGTTGCACCTACAAGACAAAACAATAGTTACAGAGAATTTTAAAATGCAGAGTTGTTCAATATCGATCATGATTACACAATTCTAGCAAAATTTAAAGTATTCAGTAACATAAAAATGAAACAATAACGTATTTTTTGTAAGCTTCTGGGCGAAAACCATCTTAATAAAAACAAAAAGTCAGAAATAGTTAAGAAAATCCCAGTTATTTGAATATAAAGCTTACTGTAATTGCTGATACGGTGAACTCATCACCTAAAGAAATACCTGCAATAATACTGAGATTCACAGTAAAATAAACTCTCTTAAAGTATCTGGTTAGACGTAAGTATTTTGAATTTTTATAAAGATATTTGGTTTGAAATGTTCTGATTATAAATATACTTGTTCATATTTGGGATTTTTCTATTCTTTATAAACCACCCTTAAAAAGCAACTCCTCAGTTTTTCCTTTTCTACTATATATTAGAACTGCAGACGCAACAATAACACCAATAACAAAAATCACAGCCATTCCTTATAAACAACATGACTGTAAAACAAAGTAGATCATTTACATACATACATTTTAAAATATTACCTTATACCTCTCTAAATAAACATTTTACTATACTAAAACAATCATAATTCTATTTATTGATCACTTCCACATGCCAGACACTGTGCTAAATGCTTCCCGTTATCTCTTTTAATCTCATTCCTCACAAAATGTACGTACTATTATTATCCTTACTTTAGAAGACAATGAAGTGACGCTCAAAGAGGTTAAGCGACCCTCCTAAGGTTAAATGCTAGCATCCAGGGGCACTAACAGAACCAAGTTTTGTTGATTCTAGAACTTGTGCTCTTAAACACTGTCTTATACTGTTTTCAATGGAAAAAGCATTATCCTAATGTCAGGTTTAGTGCAAAAACATCAGTATCGAGGACTTTTACTTGCAGCCATGGTGTAAGAACAGGGATCAGGTTTACCCTCTGTCATGGACTGAACTGTGTCCCTCAGAAATATGTGTGTCAATTTGGCTAGGCCATGATTTCCAGCATTGTGTGACTGTCCACCATTTTGTCATCTGATGTAATTTTCCTGTTGTGTTGTGAATCCTGTCTCTACGATGTTGATGGGATAGGATTAGCAGCAGTTATATTAATGAGGCAGGACTCAATCTACAGGATTGGATTGTGTCTTGAGCCAATCTCTTTAGAGATATGGAAGAAAGAGGCAAGCAGAGAGACAGGGAACTCATACCACCAAGAAAGGAACACTGGGAGCATAGCACGTCCTTTGGACCCAGGGTCCCTGCACCGAGAAGCTCCTCGACCGGGGAAGAGTGATGACAAGAACCTTCCTCCAGAGCTGACAGAGAAGAGAAAACATTCCCCTGGAGCTGATGCCCTGAATTTGGACTTATAGCCTACTAGACTGTGAGAGAATAAATTTCTATTTATTGAAGCCATCCACTTGTGGTATTTCTGTTGTAGCAGCACTAGATAACTAAGACACCCTCCAACCTGAAATAGCTGAAAAAATGGACAAAATATATGATAACAATGGTTTTCAGACACTGGACACAGGTGGCACAGGATACTCATCTTTGAGAGAAGAGAAATGAGCAAGGTGAGCCCAACATTCAATAACTGACCCAGCTTACTTCCTGGAGAGAATTTCCAGAGAGCACTCAAACTGAGCCCAGCCATCTCCTTCAGTTAAGGAGGCAGAGTCGAGAACTGGGAGAGGCCAACTGCAGTGCAGAGTATCAGAAAGGAGAGAGCTGCACAGAGTGAGCTCCAGAAATCTTCAGAGCGTTACCCTTGGGTCTTCAGCTGAGTAATGATCAGTACATGCATGTGAAGAGACTACCTGAATCAGGACGATAATCCCCTAAGAGGAACACGTGGAACAATCATTGAAGCTCATAAACATAGATAGCTGCTACTGAGTCAACTCCAACTCATGGAGACCCAAAGTACAACAGAACAAAACGCTGCGTGGTCCTGTGTCATCTTCACAATCACCAACATGTTCAAATCCATCATGCAGGCTACACTGCCAATCCATCTCACCAACAGATTTTTACCCATGAGGGGGGGAAATCAATCAACAGAAGTGGAAACAGAAATCACACAGATAATAGAATTAGCAGACAAGGATATTAAAATAGTTATTCATAACTAAATGTTCAAAAAGGCAGAAGAAAGCATGAGCACATTAAGATGATCATGTTAAGGAGAGGCATGGAAGACGTAAAAATGACCCAAATTTTTAAAAAGAGCTAATTTGAACTTGTAGAAATAAGAACTACAATGTCTGAAAATGAAAAATACACTAGATATCAGTTAAGATGGATTAAACAATGCAGAAGAAAAGATAAGTGAACTTAAAAATACAGCAAAAGAAACTATCAAAATAAAACAAAAAAATAGAATCAAAATAAAACGTGTGCTGTGGAATAACTTAAAGCAGCCTAACAGATGGGCAATTGGAGTACCTTAAGGAAAGGAAATGGATAGAAAAAACTATTTGAAGAAATAGTAACTGAAATTTTTCCAAATTTGTTCAAACTATAAACCCACAGATCTAAGATGTGCAATGAACCCTAAGCAAATGAAACACAAAGAGATCTATGCCAAGCCATAGGATAATCAAACTGCTCAAAAGCAGTTGGAGAAAAAAATATATTATGGCACAGAGGAACAAAAATAAGGACAACAGCAGATTTCACATCAAAAACAATGCAAGTTATGAGATACCACAACTTTAAAATGCTAAAAAACGAACAAAAAACCCTGTTAACCTAGGATTCTATATTCAGCAAATCTTTCAAGATTGAGGCGATCTTCAATTGGCATAACAAAGCTTATTAAGAAAATGTTCTGCATCCTACTTTGGTGAGTGGTGTCGGGGGTCTTAAAAGCTTGCAAGCGGCTATTTAAGATGCATCAATTGGTCCCAACCACCTAGAGTAAAGGAGAATGAGGAACACCAAAGACATAAGCAAAGTATTAGCCCAAGAGACAGAAAGGGCCACATAAACCACAGATTTCATCAGCCTGAGACCAGAAGAACTACATGGTGCCTGGCTACCAGCAATGACTGCCCTGACAGGGAACACAACAGGGAGTCCCTGATGAAGCAAGAGAAAGGTAGGTTGCAGAACTCAAATTCTAGTAAGAAGACCAGACTTAAAGGTCTGAATGAGACTGGAGGAACCCCGGAAAGCATGGCTCCCATATTCTCTATCAGCCCACAACTAAAACAATTTCCGAGGCCAACTCTTCAGACAGGGATTGGAGTGGACTGTGGGACATAAAGCGATACTTGTGAGGAGTGTGCCTCTTAGCTCAAGTAGATACAACAGCCCAAATGGGCAGCTTCTGTCCGGAGGTGAGATGGGAAGGCTGAGAGGGTTAGGAGCTGGTTGAATGAACATGGAGAATCAGGGGTGGAAAGGAGGAGTGTGCTGTCACAGTATGGGGAGAACAATTAGTGTCACATAACAACGTATGTATAGATTTTGTATGGGAGACTAACTTGAAATGTAAACTTCATTTAAACTACAACAATAAACAAAAGAAATAAAAAGAAGTTAAAAAGATTTAGGTGACCTTCATTCAATAACAGGCGCTCTGATGGCGCAGTGGTTAATCGCTCAGCTGCTAACCGAAAGGTCGGTGGTTCGAACCCATCAGCCGCTCTGCAGGAGAAAGATGTGGCAGTCGTTTTGTAAAAGACTACAGCATTGGAAACCCTATGGGGCAGTTCTACTCTGTCCTATAGGGTTGCTATGAGTTGGAATTGACTTGATGGCAATGGGTTTGGGTTTTTTTGTTTCATTTTCATTCAGCAGAGATTATAAGGAAGCTTGGAGGAATCTAGTGAAAATGAGAGATTTGTAAACAGAGAAGTGCCCTGTAACGTGACAGGTGTTGTAAACCTCTTACCTCTGATTTTTTTCAGACAAAAGCTGTAAGAATTCATTCCCATCAGACGTATACTACAAGAAACGTTAAAGTGCACTTGCAGTTCTCTATGCAACAATGCTCCTCCCCCCAGATACTTGCATGGCTCTGGGGTTTGCTCAAATGCCACCTCCTGAGAAAGGCCTTTCCTGATTACCCTATCTTATCCCACTCTACAGTCATTACTCTCCTAATCCACGGATCTCAATACTCTGTTTTTCCTTCATAGCACTAATCTCTACCTGACATTTTACTTAGTCATTTACTTGTTTATAATCTGATTTCCCCAAAAGAATGTAAACTCCATGAGTCCAGGGACCTTGCTGTATCCCCAGTGTCTAGAACACTGCCTAGCACATAGGAATTCAATAAGCATTTGTAGAATAAATGAGTAATAGACAAGCATTAAAACTATGAAGAGCCACGTATGACACGTTAAGAAATTTAATTTATAACTTATCTCAAAACAACAAGAAATCTTTCACACGTTTTGAACAAGAAAGCAGCAGGAAAAGATTTGCTCTTCAAAACACTTCACTGTAGGGGAGCTAGAGTGGAAGAGAGACCAGTAAGGAAACTATTATAGAAGCAAGAGATGATGGCCTAAAGTGGGTTGTTAGCAATAAGAAGAGAGTAGATTAAAGACATTATAAAGAGCAGCACAGATAGGACTTGATGAATCACTGGACGTGCTCCCTCTTGGCTGAGCCTTTCTTGACTTTGGTCGATTTCTCCTCAATGCTCCCCCATCACTCTATGCACTCTTGTGTTACAACACCTCTCACGCCACATGATATTTCCCCATTTACAAAAATGTCTTTTTCACTAGACTCCTCCAAGCATCACGATAATCTCTGTTGAATGAAGGTCATCTCAATAATGCTTGTTGAATGAAGTTCACCCCACTTGGAGACCTTAACTAGGCCTAGAATTCTAATCTACAGCTCGCTCTAGGATAGCTGTATCCTTCTCTTAACGTTGGGGAAAATCAGCGGTTCAACACTGCCCCACAAACATGACCGAGAACCAGTAACGAGAAAGAGACCCCGAGCCAGGGGTGGTAGGCGGGACCACCAGAAAGCGCAGGCTCCGGGGAAAGGTGGGCGGAAGCTCGCGGCACCAGCACAGGACCCAGAGCAGAAACCACCAGCTAGGAACCGGGCAACACACGCAGAAGATAAACCTAAATCCGCGACTTCCACATTAGGCCGACAAGCAACCAGCGGGCAGAGGATGCACGGGCCTCCGCGGGGCGGCACTAGCTCCGCCACGGCGGCGGCCATCATGGGTCCGGAAATCCGTCCTCTCACCTACCCCAAATCCCGGGGCGACGCGGCAAACCACTTACGCAGCCTTGGTCTCGGCGTTCGAGTGGCCGGAGACACGGCGGTAGAGAAGGCACGCAGGGTCCTGGCCCCCGGCTGAAGGGCCAGCCATGCCGAGAGCCCGGCGGCCGCCATAGCTGTGAAGACGGCAAGCCAGAGGGGACAAGCGTGGTCCAGCTTCTGCGCAGGCTCGCCCCGTCTTGCAACGCCTCCAGGGTGGGGAAACGGGAAAGGCGGAGCTCTCAGTTGAGTTCCGAGCCCAGTGTTCAAGGAGAAAATAACCAGAAAAAATAGAAAAAGGTAACAGAAAACGAAACAAAGAGATTAAAAAAAAAAAAACTTCGAAGCAATCAGATCAAAGACAATTTCAGATAAGGACCAGAAAGGGATGAGGGAAATGATGGCCAACAGAGAAAGGGAGAAGGTGTGGTCCAGGTGAGGACTTAAGATGACCCAGGAATCAGGCAGTTTACCCTAGAATCCAAGGAGTCCCTGGATAGCGCTAACAGTGACTTGAGTGCTAACTAAAAGGTTGGCGGTTTGAATCTATCCAGAGGTGCCTGGGAAGAAAGGCCTGGTGATTTGTTTTTGAAATGTTATAGCCGTGAAAACGCTATGGAGTAGTTCTACTCTGCACACATGAGATTGCCGTGAGTCAGGCCCTAATTTAATCACTGGTGTCCTTAAACCAAAAAATCAAACTCAGTTGCCATCAAGTGGATTCTGACTCATAGAGACCCTATAGGTGCCTTAAAAGAAGAGGGAAATCTGGTCAAGAGACACAGACGAGGAAGAACCTATGTGACCATGGAAGCAGAGATTAGAGTGGTGCATCTCTACAAGCCAAAGAATGCAAAGAATTGCCAAGCAACTGCCATATAAGCTAGGAGAGAGACATGGAACAGATCTTCCTCATTGCCTCCAGAAGGAACCAAACCTGCTGACACCTTGATTTCAGACTTCTAGCCTCCAGAACCATGAGACAATAAATTTCTCTTGTTTTAAGCAATTCAGTTTATGGTACTTTGTTATGACAGCCCTATGAAACTAATCGCCCTGGTGGCAGAGTGGTTAAGAGCTTGATTGCTAACCAAAACGTTGGGAGTTCACATCTACCAGCTGCTCCTTGGAAATCCTGTGGGGCATTTCTGCTCTGTCCTATAGAGTGGCTATGTGTCAAATTGACTGGACACCAATTTTTTTTTTTTTTTGGTATGAAACTAA